GTTTCCAAACACTTCAGACCGGAAGGGAAGGTAACGCTTGCGCAAATTTTAAGAAATTAAATTGTGCAGTTTCATTGACCCTTCGAACCAGAACAAATATCTTCCTTTTTCACAAACGAAAACATTCCGCAAATACAATTGTAATAATCCCGTTTGACAAAACACAAGGAAAATGCATGCATGTCACGCACAAAAACCATTAATGTTTTAGGTCGGGAGGGCACAAAGTCGGTGTGTTGACCCGAAGACAGACAAACTCTTTTATAGCCAAATTTATATTTTTCATTCAAGTCAAGCCAAATTTTTCCTGTACAATGATGCTTATATAAAAACATGTAAGATAAAATCAGCAGTATTTAATGAAGGAAATTGTACATAATTTCATGCAGGTAATATTTGTTTATACTTTCAGATTATAGTTTATGCAAGTCACAAGTTGAATTATTTAACAATGAATTTTTAATTGAAGATATTGATTATGGACTAATAGAATAAGCTGTGTTTACTAGATATTAAAGAATATTTAGCATTTTCAGGAAATATTACAGTACATTTAACATTACTTTTTTGTTTTAATTTTCAGTATGTTAAGTATTTTGTTAAACTTCCCAACGGTATGTATAATTCCATGAATGTCACCAAGTTTCCAAATGTAAAGGCGCTTTTAATTATTGTATTTTAATTGGTTTGAAAATGATGAGGGGATGTTCAACACATGTACCTGACATGTGCAAATATATCTCACTAATTCAGGATACAGTTAGAATAGGAACAAATTAGGAATAACGATAAAATATTATCCAGTTGACATCAGATTGTAAACATTCTTGAATCAAACATTAAGATATTACAGTATCTAAATCTAAACATTCATTTGCACCTTAAACAACAATAGTAACTTCCTAAGGATTATATAATGGGTACACAAGTTAATATAAAAACACGCATCAATTTCAACAGATACAAACAATAAGAGTTAAAAATATATCTTATCTTATGATTTATATGTGTACAATACGTAAACAGAAAATGTTTGCCTGCCATGGATTTACCTTTACACATAACTGCTAGAACGGGTTGCCAAAACATGACACTTAAATTGGTCGAGTATTGATATACAGGGCTTAATTGAATATGGTTTGTCATAAAATCAATTCGCTTATGATAGCGTATAGCAGTCGTCAGTTTCCTCAGAGTAAAGTAGACGTTTGTGAAAATCGATAGAGTGTACAGTATTAATTTGATATATGATCACATGATTATACTCAACCGAACAACATAGGCTAGCTTCCTGGTACAATCACAGGAATGATATTCCAGATATCCCAAAGAAACACGAGACTGTAGTATAAACTTTAAACACAATATACCAGATTTTAGTTTCCTTCCAGTTCTTTTTCATATTGTAATAATTTATATGTCATATCCTACTAGACATATGGTAGTGTATAAAATTTGTGTTTTATCTAGAGACTTTTCACTTAACTCGAACAATATTAGTTTAAGGTATGTTGTAGAAAATTGAATGCAGACAGTTACCAGTAACACATAACGAGATTAATAGTTGAAAATATTTTATTCAAGTTTGATTGAAGTGACAGAAAAAGACATGCTATTTTGTTTTCTGGAACAGTTTTTAAGTGAGAACTTCGAATGTGTTCGAGAGATTTTCAAACTATTTAAAAAGTTTAAGAAACAATTCTGGAATAACGGAATAAATTTGGTACAAATATTCGAAGGACGTTATTTTCTTGCATCAAAACTTCCGAATGATTTTAAATAAGGCTGAAAATCATTAAAATTTAGAGCGAATAATAAATTCATATTTGTATGATTTAAAAACATTTCAAAAAGAATTAAATGTGAATTTGAATCTAAATCAGTATTAGAGAAAGGATAATATCAGTTTGTTAAAGAGTTTCCCGTGGTATTCTGTGGGATTACTTTAACATAGTATGTCATTAGAATAACGGGACACAAACACGAATTTTACCTTAACAAGAATTAAAACCCAGTCTCTCAGATATTAATTGTTGTACTGAAACAAGATGACAATCCCCTTTCGTTGATTATAGTGGAAAGTTACAATATTGTTTATACCGCGGGCGAATATGTACATTTTGAAATATACAATTTGGTTGATTTTTTATAAGAATCCAAATAGTTTTCACATATTATTTTTCACAAATATATTGAACGAACAGTGTTGAAAAATCGGTCTGATTTCTATGGGAAACCTCATTGCAGAAAATACTAAATACTTACAAGTGAATGACACCTTTTAACACAAATTCATAACTAAATACAGTGGAGGAAAAACGAAATTAATCATTACGTACATATCAGTTCAAAAACATTCTTGATTGCCATAGCACCTAAAATTATCTATAAAATGATATATAGCATACAAATCACACAAAGGATTGGATGAATGTTTTTGTTTTTTTTATTTATCTCATCCGTAATATACTATTGTAAAGAATAATTAATTGAAGACGTGAATAAACAAGAAACCAAAATGACTTAAAAACGCTATTTCTTGGTGGAAGCTGTCCATGAATCGACTACCAAGTGGTTTTACTTACTAACTTAGTGTACACATGGTTAGGATGAACTGATGGCGAGGGAGTCTGTCTAGTTACGATAACGTTTCTGTGCCTGTGATGTTTATTTGAAGCCAAAAAGGCTTACTTGTATGTTTGCATTTATCTCGTACGAGCGACAGACTAAACGTTTCAAGGCACACCATACCTCGGTCTTGATTGCCCATTTATTAGCGGTCGGGAGGCGATGCACATTTTTGTGCATACTCTGCACTCCCTGTGCACTGCTATCTACACAAGATTATTTTAGGTGTATAAGTGTTTGCTATGTCGGGATGCCGTGTCAAGGTCGGTAACCCACTATTTACATAAAAACTTTCAACTCGGATATACAATTCCGGTGATTTGTCGCTTCTGACCAATGAAATTGCGCCGTTTATTCGAATGCACAATTTCATGACAAGTGGCCTACCTTGTACAGTCGTCCATCAAGTGTCACGTGCAGATAGCCTAACACTGTAGCCAAAAATAACTAGTAATATAACTGATATGTCTCGTCCGACCTTTTTATCTGCCATGTGTCCAATCTCACAAGTTCCCGATTACGTAAGGTGACATGGGGCTACTCTTTAATAGAATAAGTTGTATCCCGGTATCCTCAGCAAGTGTATTTGAATAATTTCAGTTGATGACTTATGTAATAGGTGGTAGAAGCTGACTGACGTAAGAGAGCAGGGAGTACCTTTTTGCCCTTGAGATCATATATCTTACATGAGGTCACAGTTGTATCTGTAGACGTGAGTAAACAGGTGTGTTTGGGAGGAGATGGAGAATGGGGAGTATATCCTAACCTCTATAAGTCGTAACCAGGTGTACTGAGTAAGGGATGGGCCTTGGGAGTATTTCTACCCCAATACAACACATATGTCTTGCATAACCCACGATCGTATTACCACAAAAACGCCAAATGTTTAGTGGGTGTATGTAACACAGTAAGTGCCTTCTTCTTATTAGAGTCTAGTATATTATGGGTTGTAGCCCTGACAAGGTATACGTAATTAGAATCTGATCTGAAAAAGGGGATGAACTCGTTATAGAATAATTGACTTTCTTCAATTAGTCACTTGACACGCTTATCTTTAGTTTGGAATGTAATGAAAAGATACGGAAGAAAAAAGAACGATAACTCTGATCTACAAATAGAATTCTATAGAGAATGAAAGTATATACATACCATAATCCTTATCCCATCCCAGAAAAAACTGAGATGTTTGAAATAAGCGAGAAAAACCAAACAAGACAGAAACAAAAAACAAAAAAAGCCTTGTTTCAGCTAATGATCACATTTTTTCTACCCCCCCCCCCCCTTTTTTTTTTTTATAAAAGCCGTCAAACCATTTTCACTGTTCAGCAGTTCAATAATTTGTCACTTATATACTATATACGGTTTCTTATGGCCCTATTTTGTAAAGCAAAACGATGCAAACTAAGACCATAGTTGTAAAACTACGCCGGTTTTTCACTGTCATTGAAATGCACACCACCGAGCTTTGCTACATCTGACAACACCATACATGTATTTCGATTGCCTGTCACATAGAAGCACTACTCGTTTACTGGAACAATGTTTTTAGTTCCTCAAGGCAATAACCCGCTTCAAAAGCCGATTGTCGAAAGAATAAACCAGGCTTTCCGAACTTGGTTCACACACTATATATACTGATTCTCTCGATCGCAATAAACTTTTGCAAGATGTATTCGTCAGCTACTAAAGGAACGATGAGTTATTTCCCCTTTTCAGATATTTACACTTAGATTAACAAGTGTAAATACATATTTTGTTACATTAGCCTTATGTAGTAGCTATAACAAAACTGGGCATCATCTAAGTCAGCATCGAACTCGGCAAACACATCACGAGTGTTCCGCTAAATAAACAGATTCATTCGTGACGACAAGACAGCGTTAAACCTTGTTTCTTGATTGTTGCAAATGAAAAGAAAGTTAACAGTTTTAAGCATGTAAAGAAAAAATATTTAACATGATGTAAATGTAATAAAGAAAACATAATTGAAATCTTGCGATTCAAATTCAAGAATACAATTAAAATATGATAAAAATGTAACTTGGAATACCAAAATATATCGAGCTAAATTTCTCTCCTCTTTATTTCCTTTTTTCATTAATTTCTATTCTTTAGTTGTACTTGTTTTTAAAACATGTTTTGAATTTTCTGTGTTCAAAATTGCAACTTCAGTGACCATTGAATTATAACAGTTTGGCAGTTTCTCACATGATGTTTCACTCTGAATTCGATCTTGATGACATCGTTATTTCGAAGTGTTTTTGTCATAATCAATACAAACAATGGTATGTATATATGTATTTGCTCTTTAAGATTTCTCACATGGTATAACATTGTCACATGTTACTTATTGTGTTTACAATCACTTTCAGATCACAAGAAGGTCGACTTGGACTGGAACCATTCACAGAGGAACACTATTGCGCACCCCTAAGGATGTTGAAAGGAAACACCGATGTCGAATCACATAGCAATGCCAATAAATGGCATGAAGTAAACATAATGGAACTTTCTATTGATTTCGGAAAGCAACATCAATAGACTGGCTTGTTCTATGTGTCGTTTTCCAACATGTTTTTCTATCTCTACATTTCCGATTGTTTCAAAACCTTACGATAGAATTTCAGGTTCTGTTAGCATACAGCATGATTGATTGCGTCAACACAAATAGGATTACAATTCGCCTAGAAAACGTCAAGACATGCCTAGGTGATCAAATCAACAATAACGTTATCAAAAAGATATTTCTGATTCTTGCGACTGTCATCCAGTAACAAAAACAGCTTAATTAAACTATTTGAATAATTTTGTACGACAAGCTCTTAAGCATTAGGTACGGTAAAGGCGACAGCTATAACAAATGACAACGTCATCAGAGCATTGACGTACGTCGGTGAAACAACGCCAATCGAGGGGACAAATCAGGGAGACGGAAAACATTTAATTGATAAACTTACCAACAAAAAAAACATATGCATGGAAAACATGACTAGTGAGTTTGCCCCTTCCATCACTGAAGAGTCCTGAAAGTGATGCAACAGCTGTCAGCTGCAGGTTAATTTATTAATAATGAATCTTAATCTAATTTCATGTTTAAAAGTAATTTTACAAACTTTCAATTTTACAAATACAAGCGCAAAATATTCAGTCACTTTATCAAATTTGACTTTATTGCGTAGATATAACAGTAAAAATTTGAGTAAACTGGAAAATATATGAATTAAAGTCAGATTTACACCGAGACGGCTGAAAACATACTAGGAGAATAGGGCCAGATGTTCCAAAAGAGTAAGCGACTTCTGTTTCTTTAACGACATCCGCTTTGTTAATCTATGTTCAAGTAATGTCACATTCCCAAATAAGAACATGGTATACTAACACAAGTACTAACAGGTATGTTTATGAGCATCAATTAAGTCAAACAATTTTCACCAACCAAAACCAGAAATTCTGTCACTTTAATCATATGTTTTGCCTCACTGTAGTTCACAAGCTGGATTGTACAAATGGCACACAGAAAAAACGCACTTTTCAATACACATTTACATTTAGACACTACGTCTATTTGTTCTTCTAGCAATCGGCAATGATACTAAGGGCCTAAACTTAAAAAGGATGTGACGAGGAGAACTAAAGAACAAGAAAATACAAACATATCAACATAATCATCATTCAAACTCAAATTCAATAATAACAAAAGATTTTCACGAAGACTCCTAAACAGTATAAGGAGAAGAAGTGTTCCTGAAGAGTAAGCGTCTTCTGCTGCATTGACGTCACTTACCACGTAAATCCTGGTCAATCTAAGTAAGTAATGTCGCTTTTGTAATAAAATTCGTAATTTGCATATATCTAATAATTTCAAAAGAAATGCACATTGTGTACATGTGTCTATTCTGAGTCTTGCCGTGTTCGAATGAACTACTTGTTTTTAGCAAAACGTGACGTGCATTTCAAAGCAAGCCGCGGGAACTAAAAGTCCACCAGCAGTGTCTACAACCATCAATCTCGAAGATTGTACAACAGACATACAAATTAATAGCGCTTTCTTATACACATTTAGAATAACAGCGTCATATAGATACTCCCAGTGATGCTAAGGGCCAACACCTTTCTACATAAAAGGCAACTGAGTAAAATAAAAATTGATTGAAAGGAACATCAAAATTGAATACGTGTGTATAGTTTGAACCGTGTCACTATTCGTATCAGTTAACAAAAGTGGCACGCAGGTCACTGCAAACCTCGAGGACTCAGAGTTCTCCATCAATGTCTACCAACTGCAATTCTCGAAGATTGTATAAAAAGACAAGTTAATTGATCGAAAAAATACAAGAATTTAGACAAAGAGGTATATTAATCCAATAATTTAGTAAATGGCATAATCATCATACATCCTTATCTAAAGACACGTTTCTATGCGGTTGGAACAGTAAAAATCACAGTCATAGCCTGCCGGTCACTCCTCATTGAATTGTGATTACAGGGAATTAAGAAATTAAAAATATTTGCGATTAAATACTGCATCGGTTCGAATCAATTCATGTGATGAAATGATTTAAAAAATAGTACATCGAGAACTTTAGCAACATTCAGGTTACATAATTATATAATTACCATAACAATGTATACTTCATTTAAGAAGGAATCAAAGCAACGTCCTTTGAAAGACTCTCTTATATTAGAAATGATATCGCATAGTTGCTGCTGTTTTAACAGCAAATGTGTAAAGAAATTAATTAACCCTGAGAACAGGTGAGAGTAGGAATTAATATGTATGCACATGAACAGACAGGGGATTTATTGTGTTGGTGCTGTATTTCTTTTTCCGATACAGATTTCCGAATAAGCGTAACAGGAAGTAATTAATTTTCACGTGTTATTCTAACTTTTTTCCTGAATAAATGATCAAAGCAATATCTTAAAAAAAATAAACGGTACTTGGTTATTAAAAAATATATGTGAAAATGCTAAATTTCCATTTGCTTTAACGAGCTTAAAAATGCATAGCAACCAAAAAATGAAAACTTGTATTTGACTATCTAACTGTTTAAAAAGTCATTGTGTTTGGATAGAGAGGGTGTCCCTGCACTTTAGTTTTTGCAATTTTCACCGGAAAAACCCTTCTTTCCAAGAACAAGAAACAAGCTAAAATATTTAATTTCGGGTTCTACAAAATTAATGTAGTCAATATGAGAAATATCTTCTTAACGTCATATTAATTGCTCCTTTCAAGCTTATAATTAACAACTAAGTATATATATATATATGATACAAAAGTCTAAGATATTGACCATCTTACTTTCGGGTTGATATATCCTTGTCCCAGAACAGACCTGTGTGGAGACTTACTCCATATCTATATGCTTATGAAGTAAAACCAAAGTAAAAGCATTGAATGACAGAGATTTTAAAAGGCCTGTAGGGACATGGAAATATCCTAATGTTTGAAGTTGTACTAGTAACATTACAATAATGACAAACTATCATTTCAAAGAGAATTTCTTAAACTGTATGTCATTTAATCGAAATTGTTAATCCGGATTGGAAATGTAATTCATTTCTTAGGTACAAAAGATATATTTGAAATAAAAGTGTATCTATGAAGAAAACCCCGTAATCAAAGCCTTGTCAAATTCCTTAATTTTTAACATACAAAACTCAAGTTAACTTTAAACCTTTACATGGTTGTGAGTGCATATTGACGAAATAATTAAGATATATGAAATAAGACAAATTGTTTATTATGAATTCCAACAAAACCGATACAGGAAAGAAAATCTCGATTTATCTATAATATAGATGGAAAGAAAGCATTATATATTAAATCTGCCTGTTGTGGTTACTATTGTATAATGAAAATTCTTTACTGTCGTTAGGTAACCATACCTTCATTTTTAAGAAACGCAACCTTTCAACTTCCAAACCGCAACATCCGATTTTCATGACGCTACTTTCGGCGAAAACTGATATCACTTCCAATCGTATTGTTAACGCACGTCTTTTTCGACAATAAACTTTGATTAGTGCAGACTCTTGGGACAGTCTTGGTGAATGCGAAAACTGTGATAATAATAAATTACTGATTCCATCTCCCATAAAAAACACACGCTTCGCCCAGATGTATATCAGTTGTATATTCCGATAAGTTTCGTACATGTATTAACTCCAATAAAGAGATACCAAGATATGAAGACCCAAGTATGCAATTGATTAATATTATTTATATATATTTACATGTCAAAAGAAAATTTATTTATCGCAAGACTTAAAGTTTATATACATAAATCAACGTTCCGCACTTGGGTGTTTGATGGAAATGCGGGACACCAAATGGTGTTTTTTTTTACACCAGCTGCTCTCTTTTTGTGTACTCTTTACTGAAAGATACTCAAGGTATCAAATGAGGACAAAAATAATTACCTGAAAAGTCGTTGTTTGATATACGTTTTAAATTATCTATATTTGCAATGTGATGCGATATGAATGTGATACACACGGTTCAAACATGATGATAAGGCCAACAAATTACTATGTCTTCCTCTTCAAAAACCAGAAATAGAGTATGTCTTACAAAGAAAGCATCCATCACAACTTTTGCAATCACTTGTCTTTAGCAACAGAGCAAAGATTGTATGGGCAGAGGGGCACTTTAAGAAATAGGAAAAAACAAACGTAAATCCGTATTGAGAGGGGATGTTATCTCTCTATAATTTGGGGTATTTATGATGATAGTACAAAAAAAACTTAAAGTTTAAACCACATCCTTCCCGAATCACAGACATCACTCTGGCAATAGCATACATTTCTCAAAGATCACCTACATCAACACCTCAAATGAAACATATTTCAGGGATTTAAGGTCAAGGTTACAATACATAAAACTTAGAAATAAATGGTCAAACATTGTTTATGATTGTGTAGGGATTCATGTATGTTGCTGCGTTGAAAGCACATAACAGGCGTTCTAGAATAAGTAAGGAAATTGGCATAGCCATAACTTACTATGTTACTAAACATTATCGGTACAAGTTTTTCTTGCAAATTCAGAAACATTTTTATGGGTTCCTTGTGCATTATTATGGAAAGCACAAAATTTGTGAATAACTATTTTTTGTAAATTAAAATTCACGTTTTTATAGAATCGCTAATAACATGAATTATTATGGTAGTCGTAAGCAGTGAAAATTTAAAAACTGATAGCTTATATGTTTCATTCTTTTTTATATTTTTAACATGACAGATCTTTTGTATCTAAGTAGTGATAATTAAATACATATGTTGTAAGACATTTTAAAGAATCAATTGGATTCGGGCTTTTATAGAGAACTGACCTTTTATAACAGCTTGTTTCGTATACAATTATTGAACGTTTTAGCAAAAGTATCCAAACAAGACAATGGCAATTTCCCCACTAATTGGAATTGTAAATATAGGATGTAAAGATATTTCAGAATATAGCCTTAAAACCGTTATGTCGACGGGAGCATATTTGACGGTGGTTTATCAAGATTTGCCGGTGGTGATAGGAGAGAACCAGATGCTTATTTGACATAACTAACAAATGCCTAGAAAACAATTACTCAACTCTGCCACATACATTATCAGAGAAAATACAATCAACCTGAAATAAGACTTTTTTATGAAAAATGTTCTAGCCACATTTGTCTGGAATTTAATTGTAAAATTATCTTTTCAAGAATTACATATTTGTACTAGAAAAATACAATTAGAAGACAAAAATAAACTACAGTGAGTTGTTATTGTTTAAGAAATAAAGGTCATCTGTAACACCAACAACAATACCATGATATTAAAATAACATCTTATAAAATTATATTGACGATAAATGTATTATTAGTAAGATTATTTCATGATTGGACTTACCGTAAATTTTAAATTTGTATTAAAATGTGCTATTAACATATTTGATTTGATTTGTAGCTGTGGTTACATGTATTGCTTATTTCGTACTCCTCTGGCATAAGCGATACTGTAATATACTCAAAATTGATTTTATCATCAAATATATTCTCTAAACCATCATATAACGATAAATAATTTTAGATTTTTTAGGTCTGACGATACCACAGGCAGGGACAGATTCTTTAAGGCAGAAAAGATCATTTTCTTTCATCTTTATGCAA